TCAAACTGCTATCTGTTGGTCCTTCCCAATGTTCTCCTCTCCCTCAGGCTGACAGAGGCTCTTCTTAATATGGCCTCAACCTCAACTCTGCAACTTCAGCTCCACTATCCAGCCACCTGAACACCACATTCTAGTCAACAAGGCTATTCACTACTCACCCTCCTTGCTTGATGCTTTCCTGTCCCTGCACCTTTGCTCAGCCCACCTTATTATCCCTCCCACAGCCTCCACTTCCTCTAATCCCACCTATCTTTGAGGGCCTAGGTCAGATGCCACCTTCTTCAGGAAGCCTCCATCCACCCAAATATAGTCTCTCTCTCTCCTGCAAATTCCTCAGCACTTTACACGGCCAGGGATTACAGCAATGTGAGGACCTCCTTATGATCCCAGACTACAGAGCTAGAATGAGGTCTCACCCATCCTTGGCTTCACCACAGTGCCTATCACTGTGCCTTTTTCACCAAATACCAGCTGCTTGAAGAAGCTAGAGAGAGAATGAATGGAAGAATGAAGGAAGAGGTGCTCAACCACAGAATCACAAACTGTCAGGGCCTGGAGGGGGCCTCAGAGGACGACTAGCCTAGATGAGGAAGGTGTAAGGGTGGGGTTGGTGGTCAGTGGAAAGAATCATGCCAGGTCCTCCCGGATGGAGCCAAGAGCTTACAAGGGCCAGAATGGTCAACAGTCTCTTGGCTTAGGCCCGTGTCTGCCCCATTCAGGGTGCAGCCTCCTTCCACAGCGTGGGCCATGCGTGGGAGTAGAAAGAACCACCTGGTCAGTGCTCCCCTTTGCAGGCATGGTCCAGGTCTTCTATAGCCACCTCGACTCTCAAGCTCAGGCGCCATCTGCTGGCCAAGGTCAGCACTGCACCTAGACCCACAGGCCCAAAGGCACTCAGGGGACCAAGGCTGAGACCATCCTCAACTTACCTGAGACCAAGGTCACTTTTTGGGCAGCAGAAATGACCTCACCTCATGGAGTCTGGGCCCCTGATTGCTTCCAAGATCCTGTCCCTCAGGACTGAAGCCTAACACTCAAAATAAACCCATTGCTGTTGGGTAGATTCTGACTCATAGCAACCCTATAGGACACACTAGAACTGCCCCACAGGTTTTCCAAGGAGCAGCTGATGGATTCGAATTGCTGACCTTTTGATGAGCAGTCAAACGCTTAACCACTGCACCACCAGGGCCCCAACATTCAAATTAAGAGAAAGGAAAAAAAGTTTAAGTTTCTTTCTGTTAATCCTGAGAAACTTCCACGACACACACACACTCACACATACACTCCGAAGGCTGCTTTCCAGAAGGATCTCTACCAAGCAGAAGCTGTGCTATGTAGAGGAAAAAGCACTGGCCTGGTGATCAGAAGGTCTGAGGTCTCATTCTGCCACGTGAGCCCCAGCACAGTCCCTGCCTGAGCCAATCCCACGTGAAGATGGTGCCTGCCCTCACTTCCTCTCTCCTCTACACTGATGGGCAGGCTGTTGTCCAGGGCTTAGTTCAATCCAGAACCAAATGTAAAGCACAGAGTCAGAAGTGTTGCAGTCTCTACCCTATCCCCTAATGTCATTCTGAGGACACCCCTCAGGGCCAGCCCCATACACCAGGGACAGGGATTGGTCAGAGGACGCTAATGGCTCTCCAAGATCTCTACTGATGGCAAGTGCCTCCAATAGGCATAGATGGAATTGACCAGCTCAGGCACCAACCTCGAGCCCCAGCTAACCACCTCCCCACTCTTCAGTCTGAAATTTAGGAGCAATTATGTAGTCTTTGAGTTCTGGGTAACCACAGAGTCTATCCCAGGACTGGGACCTAGAAAGAAGAGGGTGATACATGGCAGACTCAATCACACTCCGGACTCCAGGGATGAAACAGAGGTGTCCCCAGAGGATCCCAGGCTGATGTGGAGCCCAGGATTAGCAGCCCCACTCAAACATATTCTGGGGATGAGAGATGCTTCCCAAGAAGCATCACGGGAGGGACTGGAGGAGGAGGAAAGTGCACAGTGAGTGACTTTCCTCCGCCCTCATGCCCCCACACTCACCTACCCTGCTTCCCACACAGCCCCTTTCCCCTCCCTCCACCCACAGACTGAGAAAGTGTGTCACCAGGGAACAAATGCCATCTTCCCAGGAGGAAGGAGGAGCAGGAAGGGGGGAGGGAAGACTTTGATTGTGTGCCTGTGGGGGCTGTGGTAAGAAACCAGAGGCTGGTGAGCTTCCCAGCTGTGAGGGACGCCCCCTCAGGACCGTGACCTTGACACTAGCCTCAGAGTGCACAAGGCACGCTTGTGAGGCAGGAGCCACACGGCCACACTCAGGACCACATGGCTAGAGGGGTGGAGAAGAGACCCTAAAACTCAGGCAACATCTCCCAACCCCAAACATCCTCTAGCCAGTTGGGTGGCCCACCCAGACTAACAACACCCAGAACTTTCCATCTCACTCTGCCCAGCTGGGAGGGAGCTGCTGGCCTGTTCTTGCCTCCCTAGCACCCTCCATATCTCTCCACAGACAAGTCAGCCTCCAAGGGTTAATCTCCTGCTGCCTCCCCTACCCCCTTGCATCCACCCCCACTGAGCTGCCACATGCCGGCAATGATGCACTTTCGTAATAACAGTGATTTATTTACTCTTCATTTGGGGGTGAATCTCGTGCTGTTGGAAGGAGGAGGCCAACAGTCTTGGCAAGATGCAAAGACATGCACCATGCCAACCCAAAATCCCGTCTCATCTGCCTGGGGTCCCTCCAACCTGACTGCTCCTCCCAGCTTGTGGCCTGGCCCTGACTCCAGCCCTAAATCAGTATACCCTTTGCTCAACCTCTCCCCATTTGGAAGAAATGTTCCTTGATGGCAAGTCTAGAGATTTTTATGCTCACCTCCTGTGAGATTCAGTTAATGAAGCCCTTCTCCAGGCCATATCACTAAGGAGTGAGACATCTTTGGCTCTGGCTGGACAACTGCCACCAGCTCTACATTAAAAAACCAATAGATAACTAGGGCCAGTTCCATGCCGATCAGTGAAAATGGAACAACAGATCATTATCCAACGTCCCCCCTACTCTCAGCCCTTAGCCTAACTAAGCTGTCACTCGTTCATCCATTGGTTTATTAAACACACACTGGGCATCTACGATATGCCAGACACTGTTCTGAGCACCTGTGGATACAGGAGTACAAGGACAATCACAGTCTTCACCCACAAAGCATTGATGTCTTGCAGTGGAACCAACATACACAAATAACCACACCACCAGTTACACAAGTGGAGGGAGGGAAGTTCTGCAGAGCCCAAAGGAAGGATAGGGTTGGTCTAGGGAGAGTCAGAAAAGTCTTCACAGAATAGGTGGGATTTGGCCAGGACACCCAGCACCTAGCAGAGAGCCTGGTCTTCCAGAGATGGACGGAAGGACACAAGGAATCACTTCATAGAAGAAGAGAGTAAAGACATTCCAGGCAGATGGTAGACCATGGGCAAGGCACCAAGGGCTCAGTGTGCACAGTGAGTCTGAGACAAGCAGTACAGCGGAGCCAGAGCATAGGGAAACAACAACAATAATAGTAGTTAATATGTGTTCAGCATTTGCTCCAGGTCAGGCACTGCACTAAGCACCTTCCATTCATTATCTCTTCTAATCGTCACAACACCTCTATGAGGTGGGCACTATTGTTGTTCTCATTTTATGGTATGAAGTGCCCAGAGGATAAATCATTTGTGCAAGGGCACACAGCTTGGAAGGGCAGAGAGGAACTCAAGCCTATATAGTCTGGCTCCGGAGCCCAAACTCAAGCCACCATGCCACTCTGTCCTCCACATCATATTCATGAACCTGACAGGCAGCTGACACCAGATTTGGATGCACCTGAAAGCCCTGCTCAGGATTTTATTCTAAGGGCATCAGGAGTCACTAAAGGTTGTAAACTAGTCTTAGGTCAGCATCAGCTGATAAAAGGCTTGACTTTAAGATTATTTTGCCAGGGAAACTCTGCCAAAGAGTTCTTTAAGAGTAGAATTTCAAAGACAGTGACAGGTGAGGGGGAGAGGAGGATTTTTTAGTAGGGAATCTCTGAAGTATCCTCAAATTATGCCACATAATTTGTAAGGCTAGGCCTGGCCCACTGCAGATGCCTGCTTGAACCCCTCCCCATCCCCAGAAGCAGAGCGGCCAGAACAGATCAGCGAGGGTCCATGCCGGTGTGCCCCGTTCTGGGTGCCACATCTCCTGTAGGTCACTGGCACACTGGCAAGGGTCCAAAGGAGTGTAGACAGGGCTGTCACACAGAAGAGCCCTCAACCCTTTGTTTGTACTTCCAGGGGCCAGAATGAGGATCAGAAAAGCAAGGTTTGAGGAGGCAGCTATTAGCCCTTATGAGGAAGCACTTGCTTATAATCAGAGACGACTGACAAAAGAGGGGGCCCCCTGGGCAGCAGATGAGAGAGTAAGCATCCTGTTACTAGAGGTAATCAAACATAGGCTGGAGGATGTTTCAGAAAAGACAATGCACTGGATGACTGGGACAGTTCACCAGCAGAATCGTACTGAAACGCACTGGAACCACTTACTAACAGTGCCTTTGGACATTCTACCTTATTACCCTCCATGCCTCATCTGCAAAATAGGGTTATTAAAATTACCTACTTCATACATTTGCCACAATGATTAAATGAGAAAACGTATGGAACAGCGCAGTTGTTAGTATGCAGTAAACTCTCAATACCTGGTAGATATTAGGTTAAACATATGAATCATATTAGATTGCAGTTAAAAACAGTCTAATAGCAACAATTTCATATGGTCCAACCAATATTTTTTACTGAGGGCCACTGAGGTTCCTCCTAACCTCTTTGATTTCAGCCCTGAAAGTTGCTGTGAAATTTGGTTCAGCTCCAGTGGTAGCTCCCCAGCACCCTGGAGCCAGATCAAGAACCTTGCACTGCAAGTGTCAGAAGCAAACCATCCTGGGTCCCCCGCCCTTCCTGGCAGAGGCAGGTACCTCCTTGCCCAGGTCCTCACGAATGACCTGGCGGACCTCTTGCATGCTGCTCTGTGGGGCCTGGCTGTGCAGCACCTTCAGCGTGCTGGTGTACTCTTCCGGCAGCAGGTAGTCCAGGGCCCCCAGGTGCTGGCCCACCTTGATGAAGGTGCCCCGGTTGGCACAGCAGAGCTCACAGAGACGCCTGGCAGAGCGAAGGTGTACCTGCAAGGAGACAGGCCAGGGCCAGAGAGGTGTGAGTGCAGGTTGTCCCCTGAACATTGTACATTTCCTGTCCCTCTGCTTTTAACCCTGATTTACGCCCCAATGTTCAGGGCATACACATGCGCGCACGCAGATGCACACACACACATATGCGAATGTATATGCACACACACACATATGCACACACTTTCCCCTTCTCCTTTGGTCTCCTGGTACCCAGAGAAGCCAACTCCAACCTCACACTGAGATCAGCCTTCTCAGAAGGCTCAATGCTTCCAATCTTCTCTCCATCAAAACTTACCTGGTCTGCAGATTTACTGGCCTAAAGGAGACTGGAGAAACCCCGAGAGTATGGCCCCCAGACACCCTTTTAACTCAGAGGTGAAGTCACTTCCGAGGTTCACCGTTCAGCCCGGGAGTGGACAGCCCCATAAAACCAAATGGGACTAATGAGGCACAGCAGTCCAGCGACAAGGACTAGAACGCAGAAGGGGACAGGAAAGCTGTTGATAGGGAACCCAAGATTGAGTAAGGACAGTGTTGATGTGTTGTGAGGTTGTTAACCATTGTCATAGGGCAACATGCCTACTGTTTAATGAGAAACTATTTTGTTCTGTAAACCTTCATCTAAAGTGAGAATAGCAGCACAATTGGACGACCGTAGTCGATGTCACTGAACTGTGCATGTAGAAATTTCTGAAATGGTGTATCTTTGGCTATGTATATTTTCACCAAAAAAAAAAAGGT